GCTTTCTCTCATGTGGAGCTTTCTCGCTTGGTACCAGGTGCTAATGACTCTTGTCTGTTTAAAAAAAAATAATAAAAATATCATTAAAATGTCAAACTGTTCAGCTGAAATCATCATGCCTTTTGAAATAAAGCTTTAATAGTGAGAAAAATAGGAGGGATTTCTGAAATCCCCCCCCCTTTTTTTTTTTCCTTTTCCAGCTGAAAATTGACTGGCAGCTATCAGCAAATTGGAGACAGGGAAACTTTCAGAAGTATTTGCCTTCTGAACTGCTATCGTTGTCTGCAGTCTTCTTGGAACCAGATTTCTATTTGCTTACTGCATAGGCATTTTGTTGGAAGCTTTTTACTGAAACTACAAGAAATAACATTTAAATTGCTCTTGGATTTCTGATAGGATTTTGTCTTATTTTTAAAGCCTCTGATCTGAATGTGTATTTCATTCCTTCTCATTTTTTGTTTTTCTTCTAAATATCTTCTTTGTATCCAGCACAAAGTGGAATGCAAAATAATTAAGCGAGTAATTTGTAAGTCTGACTACAAAATAACACTCCCCCCAACATTCTCAGTAATTCCATTTTTAACTAAAGCTTTGACCTATGGTAGAGACAATAACAAATTTTTCTAGTCTTCTCACAGTTCTAGGTTTGCATTATAACTTAAAAACATATCCCGATCTACTGAGATTTTTGTATACTTCATGATGATACTATTCTCAATTTCCAATCTGTCTGTCCCTCCCCCCCCCCCCCCCCCCCCCGCTAGTTAAAATATTTCTCAACACTACAAAAGGAGCAGAAAATCCCTAGTCAAAACTGTTCAATGCTAGATTATCTACATGAAACAAATACTTTTAGGTATTTTGCCCTCCTTTGACATTTGAAACCAGACTACCGCCTTCCTACAGGACTGCTTTCCGAGGCTCACAAACAGCTCTGCATTATACAGAGAAGGCTCAGCTCAGTTTTCTAAACAACTTTTTCATGCCATGCCGCCCACACAAAAGAGTTTGGGGCTTTCCTCGCCTCTTCAGTCTTGATATACTTCCTTTTTTATTCCCGTATCTCCAGTCAGTGTGGCAATGTGTGGCCTGGGGGCTTGGCTTGTGACTCTTTGGATTTGCTCGATGCAATAAGCTGATATACAACTGCCCAGAAGGATTGTCAAGGTATGCTTGCTACACCTAGAAATTAAGGAGTTTTTGTGGGCTTGAGAAGTGGAAACTCAAGTCCAGGCTTGAATTTTAGGTCCTTCACTTTGCTGTGTGCGTGTTGTAGCATTCCCATACAGGGGAATGATCTGTGTGTGTGTTTTGTGGCATTCCCCAGGGGAAATATCAAAATTGTAGCTTCTTTGGAGTCGGAGATATAGCTGTGTCCAGGTATTTGGCACAAGCTCTACTAGTGTGAAAACCAGGGGTGCCCTCGTATCAGGCATGTTTAGCCTGTGAAAGAAACACTGCAGTATCGTCATTCCCGGTGATGCTCGAGTATTTCATTTGCTGGAGTAGTGTAGTGCAGCTGATAGAAAGATTATGTTATACCCACCGCGAAAGGTCCAGCAGCGCAGCTGGTCCTGGTCGCCAGAGCCCACGGATGGCAGCAGGCAGCCAGCGCGGGGAGCCGACTCCTTCGGCTAGTGGTTCAGCTCTGTGCAGGGTGTCGGCTGAGGAGGAGGCGCAGGCTCGCCCGGTAAGGATTTCTGTTTGAAACAGAGAGTGGGTAGGTAGTTCAGGGCTGATGGTGAGATTCAAAAGGAAACCATTTCACAGCGATGATCTCGGTTATGCTTTAAAATGTTTGCTCAGGAGAAAATGTCTATGAATTGGGGGGAAAAAAACCCAACCAGAGAGAAACAATAAAAGGCTGTGCATAATGCCAGCTGCCATTAGAGGCTGAAAGCTTATTTTCAGAGCATTGTTTTTAGAAACACTGCTTTAAATAATTTCATCGGTCTAAAGAAAACTGCACCTTATACCTTTTTGTTCTGTTTTCAGAGTGGATTTTTATGGAAGAACAGGGCTGTTCTGAGTGTTGGACAGGTTAAGCCCTGTGCTTTCAGAAGAGCTCTCTGAAAAGACGCTGAGCATTGTGTGTTGCAGTTGCGTAGTGACACCACAGTCCTTGCTCTGTCGTGAATAATTCAGATGAAAGTGGCCAGTGGGCTACAAATAATTGGACCAGATTTTGTGAGCGTACTGTATAACGGGGGCAGCAGACAGTAGTGGGCCTTTTCCAGCTTCATGCCTTCCTTGGGACTGGGCTCAGGTGATAGAGAATTCTCATCAAATTTCCAGAATATAACAAATAATCCCCCAACATCAAATAAGTATTCCCTATCCTGGGTGGAACTGATAATTGGAAGTAACGCTTGAACTCAAAGGAGAAAAAGTGCTCCTATTTTTTTGTTTATTTTTAGTGGACAGCATTGAGAAGCAGTGTACACAACAGTACTCGCTGGGAAGGCTACAAATAGCGTGATCGCTAGCAAGCTGCCAGTATTTAGGAAAAAGAGTTTTCTGTATCCAGCCTTCCTTAGTTCCCACTGTAGAAATTTCACTGGGAATTTCACATGGTCCTAAGCTTTTGCATGCGTGTTATCCCTGCACCACAGAAGCACCAAGCACCCTTTTCCCTGCGTGGGAGAGCGTTAATAGCTATGTCCAACAGGCAAACATGCATTCTTCTGGCTAGTGGTCAAATGAAATTTGAAAGCCATTATACTGTCCAGTGTTTTTACTGAATAGCTGATGCAGACAGCTGGATTGCTGGGAGCTGCCTCGGGATCGTCTGGGAGGTTACTGAGTTTTTGGTTTGATCTTGGAACCATCTTCCTGTGTAAATGAAGGGTAAGCATTAGTTAAGAATGATTATCTTAAGTATTAGATGTTTTAAGATGTCATGTGTTTCTTCATTAAACAGCCTTTGAAAATTAAAACAAAGGTCACGAGCCCAACCCAGTTCTGTGGTTAATACTTTTTTCCTGGTTTGATTTGATCTAGTTACTTCAGGCATTTATAATCTTTTTGGGGGGCAGCCTATGAAATGTACATCAAGGGAAAACAATTCTGCATAGCACACCACCTACTCGTGGCTTTGCATGTAACTGGCGCCGTGAAAATTGGCTTGGTTTGGCCTGCGTGGTGACCAGATGAGGTCCTGCCCCGGGTCGCCGATGGCACGTGCTGGAGGGGCATTGCTGCCCCGAAAGGTCGGGCGCTCGGTGCAGTGACAGCGGGAGCCTGAGCTGTACGGAGAAGCGAGGGATCAGCAGATGGAGGGAGAAGTAGGATGTGTGCAGAAAATAGGCAAGCGCTACCAGTATGTAGTCAAAAGCTACAATCACTTTGGTTTTTACCTGTGTGCATTTAAACCAGATGAGCTTTTTGTTATGCCTTCTTTTATCTCAGTGCAAATTATTAGAGGTGGGTTATAACTGAAAATATGAGGCTTTAAAAACACTGAAATTTTACAGCTGTTGATACTCTAGGATCTCCTCTTTCTCACATAAATTTGAAAGCACAGAAGAGCTCTGAGTTCAGTGCTTGCTTTTCAAATGATAAAATGTTTTAACTGCTATCTTTCCCCCCCCCCCCCCACCCACCTCCCTACAATTTCCTCACTCTTTCCCCCCCCCCCCCCCCCATCCTAGGCACTAATTAAGCAGTAACTGTAAGAGCAGTAACTGCAGTAATCATTTCTCTTTGCACTGATCTAATCTGAAGGCACGAGCAGCTGCAATAGTTATGCTACGAAGGATTTTTCCCCTTTGGCATATACTGCACAGGCTGTCCCTCGATTAGGTTCCAAGTGTTTGAAGGCTATTGATTTTTGCTCTGTTTTATGAGAATGCTCCTCTTTTTAACAGTTTAATTTCTCAGGTTTGAATTTGAATAATCAGGTCATGGATCACAAGTATTTATGCATCTGATTATCTGTTTTTCTGGTCAGGGAAGCTTTACAATAACACAAAACCCCCTTTCTGATTCCTGAGCCGCTGGAAATCCTGTGCTCTGGGGTGCTGTCTTCCTCCTGCCAGATCACACACACGCGAGGTGGCTGTGAGCATTAATAGTATTTCTTAAGGGGATGTGTCGTTGCGGCGTTGCTTACCGACATCCCAGAAACACACTGTCTGTATGAAAATTACTGTACTGTGGAAATCACCCCCTGTTTTCATTAGGCTGATTTGGGTGTGTTGCTAGGCAACTCGGGGTAACGAGGGGGTTGTGTGTATTCTTTAGGTAGGTACAGGTCCCTGCAGACATTTCCAGGTAAGTAACATAGACGTGAGAAAGGCTGATGAACTGCGACACAAGAAGTTAAGCCCCGTAAACTTAACTTTCATTAAGAGGAGGTTTTCGAGAAAGAAATTGGATTAGACCCAGGGATGACGTATCCTGTTTGATTTCTTTTCCCCTTGTGCTCTGATGAGCTTTGTGTTTAGGCAGGCTTTTGTTTCTGGCTCCGAGTTGCTTTAAAAAATTTGGGAGGGTGTCTCGGGGTGATGGGCTTAGCTTGATTGGCTCAGTTTGCTTGTGAGTGCTTTGTTCTTCCCACCACCCTCAGGTCAGTTGTGCAACATGCCTCTACTGTTTTAAAAAAAAAAAAAAAAAAAAAAAAAGAAATGCTGACTAATGCCAGTGGTTTCTCAAATGGCTGATGCAAACCTGGAGAATTTGCATCATCATTCAGCTGGAGTAACTTGGTATGACAAGAGCTTAAATACAAGTCCACGCGGAAGCTGAGCTGGTTTCCAATGATAGGGCAGTACCAGCTCGCAGTGTGAAAGCGCAGGTGTTCCCGAGCAGCGCTCAGATCGCACTAAAGGCTCAAAAACACTTTAGGAGCTTGCTACCTGTGTGTAGGAGCAGCTGGAAAGATAAGAGAGGGCAGAGGAAGAGACTACGTAGTTGGCTACACAGAGAGGAAAAAAACCTTGAGTTTCTGCTGCAAACTTTTTTGCCTGCGCTTGCTGTCGGTGTGCCGGTGGCACTGTAGCATGGTTAGGAAAGCTGCTGTAACCACGGTCTCTAATGGGAGCTACTTGCAGGGGCAAGCTAATGGCAGGTTGCCCTCTATGGACAGCGGACAGCCGGCCCCGGAGGGAAAAGTTGTGCTGAAGAAGAAAGTGACACTTTTGAGGGGGATATCCATCATAATTGGCACTATCATTGGAGCTGGCATCTTCATCTCTCCCAAAGGCATCCTGAAGAACACTGGCAGCGTGGGCATGTCCTTAACTGTCTGGACAGTGTGTGGTATCCTCTCGCTCTTCGGTAAGTCCCTTCAAAGTTTCTAATTGGTCCAGAGGGGCGGCCGGTGGATTATTGCTGTTATTTCTCCGATTTTGCCATTGGATAGCAAGGCACAGTGTGGAGCTTGAGGGCCAATAGGGCTACAGGAGGTTTTTGCTGCGTGATAGGTTGCGTGGAGGGCGCAGAGGTATGCACCCCCTGTCCCCCGGTGCCTGGTCGGTAAAGATTGCAAGTATAAATTATGGTTTCTTACGGGTCCCTAAAGGAACAGGAAAAGTAAATGTCCGTTTTATGCCATACAATGTGCTGTATGTATAATGTTTTTCTTCTGGCTGTAAGAGGTAGTTTTACAGTTTGCTTGTAAGGCCCCTGGCAGCTGGGGTTGCGGGTCACTCCGCTCGAACGCCGGCGAAATGTTTAGACAGCTTGACTTAGTTCCCTAGAGGCTAGAGCAGAGTCTGAGAGGAATAATTCCCACTGGACACAAGCTGTATTGGCATGAAAGGGAGCAAAATTAAAACACTAATAATCCCTCTCTTCAGTCTTGTATTACTGCTCTTTACTTCGTTCCTCGCTCACGATGTTGCTTTGAAAGATTGCGCTGCAAAAAACAGTGGGATGGAAAGAAATTTGTAATGCGAGTTTTATTGCTGGCCTGCCTATTGTGACAGTTTTTACTAATTTTGTGTATTTTTGTAGAGTATCAAATTCTGAAGAATGCCGGTTTATTTGTTCTGTACACAAAGCCCCCATTCAGAGTGGAAAACCCCACCCTGGCCTCTGCGGGACAGAGGGTCCGTTGACCTACTTAATGAGTTAATCTCAAAGAAGCTGAAGAACTAACATGAACATTGGCTTTATTTAAAACAGAAACGACTTGTTTTCTGGCAGGAGGTAAAGAGGACAAACACAGACTAACACGTGTCAGCTTAGTAGGTGGAACATGCAAATGCCACCCTGTGTAAATTGGCTCTGAGCTTAAAAGAAACATGGGCTGTTTACAGGCTGAGCCCACCCAAGCCAAACAGACAGTGCAAGCAAGTTAGGATCCCTTTTGGTCAAATGTTAAATGTATTGGTACAATGTGCAGCATAATCCGTTGTACAAATGTGGAAGTCCTGCCTGTAACCAAAATTCCCCTATAAAGAAAGACCACAGATACAATTTGTAACCCTGTCAGAAGACCTTGGTCTTTAGATTTAGTCAAAACAGAATTTGCTTAAGCATTGCATTTTTGGCTTTTACTTTAATAGTAGTAATTTTCTGGCTGTGAAGTAAAGTCTATACAAAAAAGCTCCATCTCTTTTATTGTACGGATTTTCTAGGTCATTTTCCAGATCTCAAGATATGGAGAGCTGTGTAATTTGGCCCAGCAAAAGATACTATCTCTTTCTCCGAATGGACCTGTTACAGTTATTTTGTCATATTTTTTATGCTATGGGTGTTTTAAATTCCCTGCATGACTTAATTATAGTAAAATCACATGCAAAGATCACTTAAGGTCTTGCTGAGGCTGTGTGTATAACATGTATCGAAACACAATTTCATTTCACCCTGAACCTCAACAGAAGAGTCTGGCAAGAGAAAACCTATCAATAGATTTTTATTATTTTTTTTTTTTAAATGGCTGTAAGAATTCCTTTAAGTATGTTTTCATGTAAGCTGAAGAATAGCAGATAAAAGCTGCTACATATTTGCAAAGCCCCAAATAAAGCAAATGAACAAGAATGGAATTTGTCATAATATGGTACAGCTTTAATGGGCTTGTACATGTTATGTGGTTTTGACAAGTGTAGTTTTCATCTTAAAGTGCTGCAGCATAAAAGCATGCAGGGAACGGAGCCGAAATGAGTTCATATATGTTGCCGATCTTAACTCTATGTGATGCGGTGTTTACAAACTTTATTACTGTTTTCATCTGGCTTCTCAGACTCTTCTAAAAGGGCTGCCTACGTTTATCGGACGTGGTGCACTTCTCTACTGATGCGGTCTGCCCGTGGAGCTGAGAATCCACTGGCTTTGTGGCTGGGTGATGGCTCATCAAGCAACGGTAGCAGACGGTGCACGGGTGAAGAAGGCTTCACGCAGGTCCTTGTAGTTGCAGTGTGCTGTTGCCTCCTCCGTAACGGCAGAGGCCACGTGTTGTGCCGGCAGCAGCCTCGGGGAGCTCTCTGAGAGCTGCTACCTGCTGAGAATGCCACTAGCACTTGCTCCAGAGGGGCCCGAGCCAATTCTGCACGAACTAATGCAGCAATGTGATGATGATTTGGGTTTTATTTTAGTCAATGTAAATGTACCCAAAGACGAAATGAGCCTCCTGCTATGAAAACATGAAGTGGTCTGTATCTAAGGCAATGCAGAAATGAACTGAGCTTTCATTGCATTAGTAGTACACAACACTGCACCACTGTTGAAAAGCCAGGGCTAAGCCATACCCTGAGTTTGTTATATGAGGCGTTGGGAGAACTATTGAGGAAAATTCTTAATCTGGAATTCCTGCTTCCATATTTTGGTCAGTTGATTGTTTCGCCTGTGGCTGAGAAGGGGAAATAGAGTTTTCTGTCTTTTCGTCAGAGGCTGAGCCAGGCATCTCTGAGGCTGAAAGGAGGTGATCATCATTTGATAACAAGAAAATGTGTCAGAAGGCTTTCACTTGGTGGTGCAGTCAGGCTGGCTGGGGAGCCGGGCTAGCTGGCGTGACACAGCGTTTTGTTGTCCCTCTTCACGAGATACAGATGAGTAATGAAACGTGTTGATAGCAAATGGTTTGTTCAGTGGCTTACACGGAAACGTAACCAGATATACGTACAGGTTGGTTAACTGCAGGTCTAGCTGAATGAACTAAAGCTTACAAAATTCCTTGGAAAAAATGATTAAAATATATCAAAAGTAGTTGTGATACCACGGCAGCTCCATTGTTTAGCTTATGAATGTTTTCAAAAGGTATTTTTTGATATCTCTTGTGATACCATGGTTTAATTCTCACAGGTGCCCTCTGCTATGCTGAACTAGGAACATGCATTAAGAAATCTGGTGGTCACTACACCTATATCCTGGAGGCCTTTGGCCCATTACCTGCTTTTGTGAGAGTCTGGGTTGAATTACTCGTCATTCGGTAAGTGTATCGTGGCTTTTCTGTGTTTGGGGGAAGCACTTATTCTTTATATGTCAATTCAGGTCCCCATTTTTTGTTTTTGTGGGGTGTTGGAGGACTTAACTCTTGATTACTGTGAAAAGCACTAACTGGCCAAATAAAGCAACAACACCAAGTCCTTACATATCTAAAATGTCCGAAGTGGTGTTTTGGCGTGTCTAAGCCTGTGGCTCATGCAGCCCTTGACGTTGTATAGGTGAGTTACAATATGAAGATGCCAAATCATCGGACCATATAAAATAAATTTTCTTAATGTAAATGGATCTTTGTATTTTTTTTTTTACAGTATGGCTGAGGCTGGAGAGCTTGTTACATGCAGAACAGGGCAACTCACTTATACAAAATGACTTCAGGAATGCTCCGTTCCTGCCTCAGGCTAGTTAGCACTCCTTTCCCCTCTTTTCCGCAATCAGCAAATTAGTCACAAAAGCAAAAGCCTCATTTCAAATCACAACTATGTTTACATAATATTGACAAGTTCTAGCATAGACTGTTGAGTTTAAAAGCACTGACAGTGCTGAGTCATTATGAACCCATAAATCTTTATCTTCTTTCCGGAGGAAATCATTGTGTATGTCTGATGGTCCCTTACATCCTCCCCACCCCACCTTTGAATTAACTGCATTATTTCCATCAAGCGCGGTGGAGGAGCAGATGTCTTAACCATATTAACTTTTTGCCAAAAAGGAAAACCAGACAGAGGAAACAAACCTATGTTCACAGCACAGTGCTGTGAACGTAGCTGTATCAGTGCACGTTGCAGAATCAACAGAAGAGAGCAGTGTTAGAAATCCTGCTCTTAAGCTGCACCTTACTAGGCAGGGGGACCTTATTAACCTAGGCACAAATACCCACAGGAAACAGGCTTCATAAATTCCTCTCCTCGCAAAATTATTATTTTTTTACGTATAACAGTGTCCCAGGAGTGTCATGAAAACACTCCTAGTCATCGTGATCTGTCCCACACCCAGAAAATAACCATCTTGCATGGGAAAGAACATCAGTGGATTCTTTAATCATCAAATCTGAGAGGCAGCGAGGGAGGCGTACTTGTTATAACTTGCGATGATCAGAGCAGCGCTGCCACAACTCCGTGTAGAGTTTTATGTCTGACTCCTGCATCGGTAAACTAATTGGCTGCTGCTATCAAAGAAGCTGAGACCTAATGTGTAGGTAGGTCTTTTTCAGTAGATGAAGTTGCACACACGCTTCTCAGCTAAGCTGTTTTTTCCTCCGAAAGATTGCAGGATTATCACACCCACAGGTGGGGGCCCCAGCCACAACCAAAATAAACATTTCCGGCTCTCGTATATCTTTTCAGCCACCATTTTACAGTCTAGGACACACTTAAACTCTGCCCACACACTGATTAAACTCTGCAAGCATCACCTGCTGTTTAGAAGTGCCTTACACTGTGCTGCTCCTCATCCAGTACAAGTAGGAACTTTTTTTCTCTCCAAAAGTCAGGTGGCAGGTATATTACATACCTTTTAAAAAAAAAAAAAAACCAAAACTATTTTTCAAACAAATGAAGATGACGGTGTGAATGCATTGTCTGTAGCGCTTAACTATGGTGGTTGCTAAACACAGGTTGGGTGGGAGTGAGCTGCCAAGTCAGTGACTCACTCCCCTACCATATGTGCTGGGGCACTAAGCCTGCTCCTTCCCTGGTGGCTTTTTGTGCTTCTTGCCCTTCAATGGAAGCTGCTAATGGGCTTTCTGTCCCGCTCCTGAGCACACAGCTGTTAAGGGGCTGCCAGTCTGTCCTTGGGATTGCAGTCAAAAGGAAAGTGCCCCATTCCTTCAACTTCCACCTCCATTGATCAACTACACTGCCAGCAACATCTCCCTCCGAACATGGGCCTACAAGAGACACAGATATTTATTAGAGGTATAATTTAGCAGGTATGTTCTTAGAAACATAGTGGTGTGGATAGCAGCAACTGCCTCTTTAAAAAGGCCTTTCTGAAAATGAGAGGGAAAAACCCAGGTTCTGCAAAAAGGAGCTGGGACTGAGGAAAAAAGTCTGGGAAAGCTCCAAAGACCTTATCTTTCATCTGATCTAGGATACTTCAAACTACTTTTGGCAGGCTGCAGTATTTAAAAGCCAGAAGCCTGGTAATCTTCTCATGTAAATTAGAAATATTGCACCGAGGTGAAGTCAGTAAATGTATGTGTAAATCCAGCGCAGAGGATAGTTGGTCCCTAAACGAAGGCGAAAGTTGCAAAGCCAATTGTTGGCCAGTGAAAGGAACAGTCCTCGTGCGTGGGGGATGCACAAGCAGCAGCCCTCCCTTGCCCATGCAGAAACTTTCCAAGGAAGACACGTCTGTTCTGTGCTCCTCTGCTGTTTGGTCCAACACAGCGTGTGACATTTTGGTTGAGTCATAACGCTAAGAACGTGGGTTTTATTTTAAAAGTGGAACTCTCTTATGGAAAATTCCTTTATTGTTCGATGGAGAATAATAATAATTCTGCAGAATTTTTACACTGTTCCATAGCATTTTTGGCAACTATATTTTTATTAAAATTCTGTAACGTGGGGCATTTTTTTATTAAATGCTGTAGATTTTTTTCACAAGAAATTTGCATGGACTCTTATTTAACTCAAAAGTCCTTTGAGGCAGAATCATATGTCCTTTCGTCCTTATTGTGTACGAGTGTGTGATGAAGCACAGATGCCACCAGCTGTCCTAAGAAGGGTGAAAGTGTCCTCCCAAACCAAACGTGAACAGACCACTGGATCTGTAACATGCAGACAATGTCTGACTTGAGGCACAGGGTAGTTTGCTGTTAATATGTGTCAGTGCTAAGGCTTCTGGCAAACATTTGGCTTGTCTCAAAGAGAAAAGCTGTATGAATGAGTATTTCAGATTTATAAATGCAACAACTGCATGTGTGCCTTTCTTCACATTTCTCTGTTTCATGGCAGGTGCTTCCTGTACTTAGAGGATTTTTGTTCTCACTCGCAGTGCTAGGAGGTTGTTGGTCAGTAAAAGGAACAAGTTCTGTTTGCATGTTAGGAAATCCCATTTTCATTCATTTCTTGCATTGTCTCAGATTTTGATAAGAGACTTGCGTTACTTAGTAAAGCAGAATTCTCAGCTTGATTGAAATTAATTTGCTTGTGTCTCTGAGGGGTGAGATACACCTGGCCACTAAAATTCAGTCCTCAATGACTTTTACTCAGGGTTTTGCCCATGTAATCTAATTCCGGCTATGTTCACTTCAAACAAGTGAATGAAGATTTCTATTGATACCTTTCCTTTCTGTTTACGGACGCTTCACAACATGGAAGTTGTAAGAGAAATCCTGGTAAGAAGTGTTGCTCTCAAGATAGAACTGCTGAGCAAAGCTCAACTGCTTGTGGTTTCCTGCTGCATTCAGAAATCATGGCACACGGCAGCATAGTTACAAGCAAGCACCAAAATTAAGTACATTTCACAGTTCTGTGATAGTAAAGTTACAGCATGATCCCATAAGAATATTATCTATGTAATATTGCGGATTAATTTTGTGATTTTTTTTTTTGTTTGTTTTCACTCTAGCCCTGCTGCCACAGCAGTGATATCGTTGGCATTTGGACGTTACATTTTGGAACCTTTCTTTATGCAGTGTGAAATCCCAGAACTTGCAATTAAACTTATTACAGCTGTTGGTATCAGTAAGTATCCAATTTTAGGTTTCAGGGAAGGGTAAAGATGATGTAAATTGGAAAAAAAAAAAAAAAAAAAAAGTAATCTCACACTGAACAGGTAGTTGTTTGAGGTGAATCATTACAAAATGACTGTGCATCCAATGCCAAGGGCATCAGCGTGACTTTTTGCCCGGGTATGTGTGTTTGTGAGCATACGCAGTAGTCAAAAGAATCCCAGACTTTATTAATGGCAGGGAAAATCTGTTGCCAAGGCTGATTCTGTTGCCGCTTGAATTAATGGCAGAACTCTCATTACTTTTGTGGAAGCAATTTCAGTCCCTAAGAGATGGTGAGCCACTGCCAGAGATATGGAAGAATGATTACCTGATTTTAAGTGCTTTGCTCTACCTCTGTTTTAGGAGGCAATCGAGCGCCAAGTATGATGCCATGAAGAAATGTAGTTCTCCTCAGTGGAGCACAGGCAACATGAGATCATCTTCCCTCGTCCCACTCTGTCCTTCATGGCAATAAAACTTAGAGACACTTGCGGTTCAGGAAGCAGGAACCCAGCTCACGACTTTGGGAGCAGGGTGTACAGCTTGGTGAAAATGCATGTCTATTACCAGCAGCTTGTCCAACTCTTGCTAACTTTGTGATTAGTGTAAAAGGGACTATTTAGGGCTACAGAGAACCAGTAATTACCAGTAGAAGGAGGAAGGCTACCCTGAGACTAGGAGCTTTACAGTGTACCTGGGCTGGTGCGGGGGGCCGCATGAAGTGGGAAGGCACAAATCGTGGTGCCGTGTGCCCGTAGCGCTAGAGGCTTGTTTCCAGTTCTGCTGGTCACTGGTGATGATTCTCCTTGCACACGTGCACACACATTCGCGTTCAGCTGTGTGGGGAGGAGAGTGCGGAGTAGACCCGAGTAATTGGTAACAGATCGTTCCTTTCAATTTGGCCAGTGCACACATTGGAAACAAAAGGACTGCAAAAAGGAATTAAGACATGCAAAATGATCAAAGGCATGCAGGAGACCCCTTCAGTTTTGCACAATAATAGATTCAGATGACTTTTTCTTTCTTTAGGGTAGGGAGTTCAATTGACACTGAAATATCCAGTCTCCGGGTTACTGTGGCTTTTTGTAGGAGCTCTCCTGATAAGAGTTCCCTTCTGCCAGGAGTGTTAAAAAAGTCAGTATGTGACCACATTTCTTTCTAACTTAATTATGCACAAACTATAGGTTTCATAGGAATAATTGAATTAGGGCTTGAATTTTGAGGTCAATGAGTTTTTATAGCTACATCTGTCTAAAATATTTCAGTGCAAGATAAGGGTGAAACAGATGTTAGGTAACTTCAAGGTCACTGAGACAGAAGGAATGTTAAGTGAGGACTCCATCAAAGCATTTTGTTAAGTGCGTGTGATTCAAGCACAATAAGTGAACAATTTGAAATAGGTTTTTATTGCTTTTAATTTAATTGAAAATCTGTGTGATAAGCCAGAGCTTCGCAAAGTAATTAAACAAAGAAGTAGCATTGCAGGGGGGGTGGAGTTACACTGAAATAATTACAGCCTAAAGGGAGAGAGGAGTTCACAGCAAACTGCTCCTACAGTGAGCGTGGGTCTGTGCAGCGCAGGTAGGATGAGCTGTCGTTTCACCGAAAGAAGGGATTCTTGTAGAAAGTTTGTAATGGTGAATGGGACAATGCCGAGGAAAACAGTGACATGTCAGACTGAGGCTTTATCTTTATTTTTTGCAGTATGCTCTACAGTGGAGTTTTGTTTGTAGCAGTTTTTGATCATATGGTACGCTTAAGCTCAGGGATGCCAGAGTGTATGACTTATTCTTGTACGGTAAGAATTAGCTGTTGTGGAGGTAATTGTTACGAGTGTTTTGTATTGTGCGTGTAGCCAGAGTGATAGGTAAGATTAAGGTGGTGTTGAGCTGAACAGACACGTTGGAGCCCTGATAATCCAACTTAATGATGCCAAAGGTAGTGTTTGCTTCCAATGAAAATTTTAAGTTAATGAGAGAGTGAACTGATGTGCCTTTTGTCTTCTTGTCCATTCCTGGTCCCTTCACCCTCCTGTGCCTGGTGACAGAGCGCTCGCTGCGTATCTGTCTTTACTGTGTGGCTGGGAAAGGTAGGGGGAAGCACCGTTAAACTCTGTCCTTGGGTGAGGCTTTGTTCCGTAGTTTTACCTTGCCATTTCTGATCATGCTAGAATGGGCAGGAAGAGATTCTGAAAAATCTCCAGATGATCCCCTGCCCCCAAACACAACCAACGTATCTAAACAATTTCTGACAGATGTTTGTCTAAACTGGTCTTAAAACCTCCAGTGAGGGAGTTTCTAAAGTCTCACCAATACTGTAGCCCACTTTTTTCTATCCTTGTCACAAGATAGCTTTTCTCATTTTTTTCCCACCTCTTTTTCTGCAATTTAAGCCTATTATTAAAAGGTTGCCTGAGATGGATGCAACCAGGATTATGATGGGGAGTGACAAATACTGTTGGTTCTCTACCAGCTGCAAACAAGTACTTCTCATAGAGGGGCTACAGCCCATTCTGCTCCCGGCGTAAAAAAGGAACGACGGTGCAGCAGAGATGATGTAGATCAGGTGAGAGCTAAAATGGAACTACTGGGGATGGTGACCTTTAAAAAAACCCGTCATTCTTGGTTTATTATTTATAAGAAAAAAGCATGTGCTGGGCACAAAATTCCCCTTGAAATCACATCTGTTCTGAGTAATTTTGAACAATCTGTAGAAGCACATTCTCTGTTCCACAATATGGTGCCTTTTTTTTTTTTTTTTTTTTTTTTTTTTAATAAAAACAACCAACCAAAAAATCCAAACACTTCAATGGCCTGGTAGAGAGAAGGATGCTTGTGTGGAGGTTCTCTTCAGATACCCCAGCTTTCTGAACCTCTGAAGCAAAGGCTGCCTGTTCTTTTCAAATTTAGAAATCACTTTAATTCACTTGATATTTCTCAAGTGAGTCTCCATGAGTAGAAAAACCTAGGCAAATACTGGATACGCATATCTCAGTCTATCTGTCAGTCTCTCATAAACTTTTTCTAAACTCAGTAAATTTAACTGTACCTGAGAGAAAAGCAGACATCTCAAAGATACCTAATTACTGCAATTTTTATGAAAATAAGCGGACAGGTAGAGGAGAGAGAACCTGGATGTGCCCCAGCATAGGGAAGGATGGCTGAAGAAAATGCAAACAGGAGATAAGGCCTTCTGAATGCCCAGCTTTGCTTGAGTTGGACACAACAGCCCCAGGACACAAAGCAGAAGGGATGCCATCCGCCTTTGTTCTGATGCTGAAGATGGTCTTTTTAGGAGAAAGAGTTGCAAATTCATTTCTCTCTTTAAGTGAAAGCTGGTAGACTCCGTATTTATTTTTTCTTCCAATGAAGAAACAGCCTATCACCATACCTATCACCATGCCTATCACCACTGCAAAGCACGGTGATAGTGCAAAATACCCTTATATTCATATATTGCTTTATTTGTATCTTTTAATTCTTCTCCTAATGGTAAGCTTAAATATATTTGTAACAGGAAGGGATAAATTATACTGTGCAAAGGTATTGAACTGTACTATCGATATGTAACCTGAATCTTAACTGAGCCTGTTCCAATCTTTTCACTTGGCCTCCATATCAGAAAGCAGATAAACAGGTTTCAGCTATTAAAAACTGTGAGACTGAAAGCAGGTTATCAACTCGCATATGTTTTTAAAGTTTTTACACTCATTCATGCGTATTTCAGGCATTTTACGCTGCAATAATGTATAATTTCCCCCTTTTTTTGGAAGTCTGCCAAAAAAACCTCAAATACCCCAAACTATGGCTGTTAGAGGCTTGAAAACCAAGGTCAGCTGTACAGATCTATCAGTGCTTGCTGGCAAATGCTCCAGCCCAAAATTTTATTGGCATAAATTTGGTGTGTATGTCAATCTATAGCTAAGTTGCTTTTTTTTTTTTTTTCCCCATCATGGCAGATGTTACAGACGTCACTCTCTACCACTGACAGTTTTCAGACAAGCAGTTCAAATTAAGACATCTCTTGGCTTGCAGGGATAGCAAAAGCTGCTCTGATGGGTGCTTTTGTGCCTCCTGTGCCTTCGTTTTAACTGACGCTTTAGGATCTGCAAATTGAGGGTATTTTTTGCTTTGTGTGAATGCCTTGACCCTAAAAGCCTGACAAGTTAGGGGAGGGTAGTTTCTTTGGTTTCCCACTGAGGCAATGGTACGTATATTCTTGAAAAGTAGGCCAGGATGTAATGCTTACTGCTGCTTCTCCCATTAGATTTCGTTACCCATCTATAGCTGTGACTGTGTGAAGGGAAGATATTGTCAAAAGCAACGTGATCAGTGTTACCGTTGTGTTTGATTGTTCATGAACCCCATTTTGTTCTCCTTCCATACTCCCCTCGGTCCTATAGGATTCATCTCGCTTTTAGTTAGGTGTTTAGTTTAAGGTAATTGTCTGTGCTCCCCATAGAGTTAGCGGAGTGGAAAGAGACATATTGTCATATTCTTGAAGGCAACTCATCTCATCTGAGACAGGCATCTGAAAGAGGTGTTGTTATTCATCCTCTGGAGGTAACTGTCTCTTCACTGAGAATGCAGCCACACTAGATGCCTGACTTTTAGTTAGCAAAGTTAGAGATGAGTCCTCCTTTCACTGCCCTTTTGTTTGGGGAATTGCTGCTTCCTTCTGATCTTTGCTGTGATCCTGTATCAAAGTGTCTGCAATCAGTTTCTTGAAGTATCTCCATGAGGCCCTATTCATAGACGAGAGGTGTTGAATAATGACCATAGTCCCAAGATAGGATTTCCTTCTTGAATCCTGGCACAGTTGTCATATTTTTTAGCAGCTTTCTTCGTAACTCTTCCATTGCCTTTCGCTATCCGGTTGCTAACACAACCGGTATGGTGCCTGTACGTGATAGCAGTATAAGCCTCACGTCCCTATATGTCTGTTATGCACGTAGAACTGCTAAGACTAAATATGATAAGACGACTGTAAATTCTTATAGCCTATTAAGTCCAATAAAATGGAATTAAAAAAATAGCAAATTGGTCTCAAATCTTCTAAGTACTTAAGTCTCAGCCCTGCAACCTGAACTACTATATTTGTGCAGTCGTCCAAATCTGCAAGGGACTTCTTCTTGTCGAGGACCAGCAAAACTAATGGCATGTGCACTGGACTGACTGCAGGTGTAGCATCCCTTCAGCTTCCCGATTAAATGTTTCCTGCCAACCATAGGTATACATGGAAGTAATAAAGCAAAAAATAAGTATTTGGATCTCAAGTGATACTTCGCAGAAGTCCAAGTGATTTCTTTGTGACTTAGAAAAGAATGCCTCAGGTCTAAAATATGGTGAAATACAGAACTGAAAAAACATTTTGACCTTTAAGATCTTTTTTTGGTGAAAAATTCACATTAATTGATGTTGCGAGTTTATGTTGACTTTTTTTTGAGAGTAGGGCCCTCTCTTTCCCAAATAAAAACTTCTAATATTTTTTTCTGGAATTTTTATTTTATTAAAAATATCTAAAAAATACACTAGAATCCAGGTTACTTGGAATTTTCTCCCTTTTCCATTAAACCAAAACTACTTTTGGTTTAAATTGGGAAGAATTTTTTGTGATATATTTTTTGGCCATGCCAGTGAACAGAATCTGTATAAAACATTTGGGATAAATCAGTGGGTTTTGCTGCCAGAAACCTCGTACCATGCCAGATTTACAGCGCTAGCTCATACAAACTAGCTCCCAGACTCTGGCGGGCGATAACTTGTGTGTTTATGTGTCCTAAGATGTGTGATGTGGCTGGTGATACAGACAAACCTTGTGAGCTCTCTCTTGTGAGAGCTTGAAGTATGGGAGGACTGTGATGAGCTAATTCCTTAGCTCCATACGATGGCAAGAAAGAGAAGATGAGTGAGCAGGCTTGTTTGACTATGTCCACCTTTCCCTGCAGCAGAGGGGGAAAGGGACTTTTTATCTAGTGAAATGACTCACATTTTCCGTTCTTTAGGTAAATTATTTTGTTTTAATATCTAAACTCCTTTATTGATTCTGTTGTGCCAGGGTAATTGTTTAAATAAGCTAGAATAACTGGCACTCGATGATAAGACCTACCATCCTCCTGTCACTCAGTGCTGTAGTAAAGGCCAGAAGATGCTCTCCCTGACCCAGAAGGAGATGTGAGCTGAGCAGGCAGGAGGTAAAAGCCCTTCTCACTTACCTCTCTACGTGTTAGTGAGGTGCAGACCTGGGCTTCGTTTTCAAGAGTAAAAGGTCTCTGTTTCTTCACCAATTCCCAACAGGGACAAGCACGTTACTTGTGCTCTGGCCCTCCTGCATCTCTGGTGGCATGGCAATAAGGGAGGAGAAAGATTGGAAAAGAGAAGCAAGGGTAAATAAGTGGCAAATTTATGTGAGGCCTAAATGGCGGTGAGAAAGCTTAATATGATTATTACTTGTTATTGTTTTCTGAAAATGCAAATCTCTACTCAAACCAGCACTGATACAGAAATCTGGAGTGACAAGGACTGGGCAATTAATTTCTTTCATCCAAGGCAGGGTCCTGCCAACCCATTGTCTACCAACAGCTAATGATTCTGGGTAAACAAAGCTGTAATTTCGTCCAGAGGGAGCCAGGCAGAGAACGGAGAGACGGATGGGCCGCGCAGTGGGTCAGACAGAGGGGCTCAGCTCAAGCGTTTCATGCGGCCTCTGGAAAGGGAATGTGAGAAGCCGGGAGGGCAGCAGCTGGAGAAGGTTATCGGGGTGTATTTCCTTTAATGCATCAGGATCTATTGTGTGTGTGGCCTCTCTGCTGGCAAAGAGTTTTGTGACAATTTCAGCAGCAAGTATTTCTTTCTGACTTTTCTTTTTCCCCTTGCAGCGCTGGTGATGGTCCTGAATAGCACGAGTGTCAGCTGGAGTGCCCGCATTCAGATTTTCCTTACCTTTTGCAAGCTTGTAGCAATTCTGATAATTGTAGTCCCTGGAGTTATCCAGCTAATTAAAGGTATGAAATGAAAAGTAAATGCTTTTAAAGTGCTTTTATCTTTACCCTCCCCAGTCTTTCCCCATCTGCCTCCACCAAATAATGCTTATAGCAGCAAAATCTCTTAATTAGTCTGTGCTTGTTTAACTGAAGCTCTGTACTGTCATGTAATTGATTAGAAGTGGAACTACACTGGGATGAACTGGTATTTCCTTCAGCATGCCAATGAGTCTGTTTAGATCAGACTCAGTTTTCAAATGAGCAACAGGATTACTCTTCTCTGTAATTTGCCTTTCGTGTGAACTTTGTGAAAGGGGCAGGATGGGTTTTAACGACAGATGGGCATACGCCTCCCCAAAGCACACGCCCAGTCCAGGCAGAATGTGTGTCCTTTAACTGGGCTAGTGCCTAGTCCTGTTCGGTACTGGGTATGTGGTGGTGGAGGGGGCTCAGAATTGGGGAATATATGACAGAAGCAGTACCATGGATGCTGTTCTTCTACTTTGGTGATGTAAATTGTGAAGTTAAAGCTGCTGTACTGGCAAGAGAAACCGTAGCTAGCTATTGCTTTCATGGGCTTCCTGCTTGCAAGTACTGGATGCTCATGCTGCGTGCATGCTTTACTTCTTTCAAGTGAAAAAGCAAAAGGTAGTAGTCTAGGGCTAACCCAAGCATAGGTAAGGAAAGCAGAAGTGTTTGGAGGGCCAGAATTACTCTACAGACTCTATCAATGTTGCTGCATAAGCAAGGAGTGTGAAAACACATCTTTGTCCTCCCCAGCAGCATGCAGCACGGACATGACTGCACAGGCCTTTTCTTGGTTCACTGGAAGTCATTTGGGTAATGCCATGCTGGCAGAGAAACTCTTTTCACTGACGTATGCTCAGCTACCTAAAGAGACTTTTCCATTACAGCCCTATCAGCAGCGGGCGTGAGATGGTGACGAGCCCCAGCTCACGCTCGTGCCAATAACGCTAGACAATAACCACACAAAGCACAAGGACCATTTGGCACAGAGGGTCAGAACGGGGAACACTTTTTAATGAATTGGTGGCAGTTATTATCTAACAAAAATTATCACAGTTGTTGGCTCTGTCCCTGGCGATGCTCTTATGATGCTTCACAAAGCCTCCCATCTGAGTCAACAGCACAACACTAGGCTCTGCAGGTGAGCTCAGTTTCTCTGGGACAGGCAGTTCTCTGTGGTTAGCAATAGCCTCTCAAATAAAAGTTTTCCTGTGGAGTGCTCTGCTGATTCACTATTTCTGTTTTCATGTTTTTCACTTCCTTTCTGGCAGTTTCAATGCCTCTTCCCTCACCTCCTTTCATGTGCAAAATTTCTCTCTGTTCCCATCCACCCTATTTTTCCTAGACCTTTAGAGCAGGCTAGACCCAGGTTCGGATGGATTTTGCTGCCCTTAAGTAGCTCAGATAGTGTCCCTGATTCCCTACTGGGACCTTCCTCTGGCCACAGCTCTTCCCTTACCCAAAAAGCCTCTGTTTCATTGGGAATTTTTTGGGCTCAGTAAAAACTGAGTAAAGGATAGAGGATTTTACTCACCGCTAATTTAAGTCTGAATGAATTCTTCTTCTTTCTCTTCCTGTTCTGTGAAGGATCATTGTTTCTCAGGAAATTTGGGATATTGTAGGGAGGTCTTACAAACCATAGAGCACCTTATAAATGAATAGGAGCATAGCACAACTCTTACAGGTTTGCATTTACAGATATGTAATTCTTACTTAGTGTAACATTAATATAGTACCGACTATAATGTGGTAGGGAGTTACTAAATTTTTCAGTGGTAGAAATGTTTAAGATATTGGGTTTGTTTACCTTAAAAAATGTTGCTTGTGAGTGAAATGCTAGCAATGTTCCTTTTGATTAAAATGTTAAACAAGTGAAATTTTCCACAGCAAAAACTACAGAGCTCATGCTCTTTCATGTTGATGTAAGTCACTGCTGGAGATGACAGTGCAGTGAGTGTCATCAAGCTCAGAATGCTTTGAAAAAAACTAATCGGTCAAATTCTGCTATTGCATGACTAGGGACACCACGAAACCTTTTACAATTGCTGGCAGACTACAGCTGCAAGGGTTGGGTCAGAAATTAAGGTCAAGGGCAGAACTTGAAGTCAGTGAACTGTTGGGTGATTAAATGTTCCATGGTGTGATATATTTATTTGCTTTAAAGTAGTAGGTGACAAAAGAGCTTATTTTTCAATATTGTTTTTGTTGATGTTGCAGGAGAAACACAGCACTTTAAAAATGCCTTTGCAGGGAATGATGCCAGTGTTATGGGATTACCACTTGCTTTCTATTCAGGAATGTATGCCTATTCAGGCTGGTAAGTTGTTGAAACCCATAAGTATTTGTCCTGAAAACAGACACTAATATGCCCTAACAAAGACATTTATTTATATGAAGAAATGAGTAGCACATTCCACAACTTTTTGCCAAACTACATTGTGTAGTAAGCATAGGTCTCACCACTGTTCCGTATGCTCAGTAGTTGTTCTGCAAGCAGCTCTACAAAGGAAAGATTTTTCTTCTCCAGTGTACAATAGGTAAACATGCACTGAACACTAAAAAAATCAGACTTTTATTTCTGTTCTTAAGACTAGAAATAAAGACAAGAAAGGAATGTTCTTAAATTTTCATTAGGTATTTTGAATAAAGGATAAAAGGGATAATGAAGCTTTAATTTTTTCTGAGCAAGTCAGTTATTACATGAAAAATCTATGAACTGTTACAAAGTTGTGAATCTCCATCCCACTTCTGTGGACCTCAGCCTTTGCTTTATAAAAGCCGTATTTGAAGAATACCACAATAACATCAGTATAGACCACAAAACAAGGTAAAAAACTATATTCTTATGCCTCTTGCTCCGAGGGAATTGGACCTCACTTAACAAGGAGTGCAATTGGCTTCCATAGAAGTCAAGTGCTATTGACTGTGAGCAAAGGCATGAGAATCTGCCTTCAAGAATTCTGCTCAGAACTTGAAAGTAAGTTCTCTCCCTCTCCCCCACCAAAGTATACAGCAGCTGGTTTGAAAGGTGCTGCCGCTCTTCGAATCTGCCTTACGATTTATTCATGCTTAGTGAGGGCTCCACATTGCACAGTGCCAACGTGCTTTTGCAGCAGCAGTGTGGGGGGAAAAAAAGACTACAATGCACGGAGTGGGCTTATTTTGAGATAGCTTTGTCTACAGGTCTTCCCTTTCCTTTCCATAGCCTCACAGGCAGCCAAGTTCTTTACCTCGCACAAAAGGCGAGGGCTGAGAGATAAGGGTTTTATTTATTTAATTCGGAGGGACAATGGGCCGAGCATTTGAGTTCTCTGCCTGTCTGTAGCTCCCCGGTTGCAGGAGCATTATCAACATGCACGCTGAAGTACTGAACAGAACTTTTATATTAAAGGGGGGGGGGGGGGGGGGGGGGAACCCAAGAGAGGCCAAAACCTTTATCTGGGATA